GAAAGTAGATACACTATTTTATCTCATACATGTGGATTATACCACCCATTAGATAAAATTTTACTTTATTCACGGGTATGCTTTATCAATAGCACTTCTTGTTTTGACAGAGCCTCTCACGTAAGAATGTGACCTTCTCAAAGCTGTTAGTAAACCTTATTGCGTTATCAACTTGTTGCTTATCAGCAAATTGTTCGTTTAAAAAAAAAAGAAAAGATTCATTTTGGCTCAATGAAATGTCTTATCATTTATTTTCTACAGTTACTACAATAATGGATATAGAAAAAGTCCAGTCACTTTCAACAATGTTTCCATACAATTTGCTGGATATTATTCCGTGGACCAAAAAGAAGCATAATTTTCACTATAGACGTACACAAAATTATTTTAAATGTATAAATGTTAATGATGTAAATATTAAAGAATTCACTTTTGGACTATGTAGAGCTAAAAGTTATTATTAATGAAATAAATGTCAATAAATTTTAAATCTATGAACCTGGTGGTTTTAGAAAATTAAAAAAATTAATTGATTGATTTCTATTTCGAAATTGAATACAATAAATAAATGATAAAGAAAAGAATGAGTTTTGCAATAAAATGAAAAGAAAGCATGTTGTGCTCTGTTTCCAAAGAATTTTGATTTTGAAATTAAAATTCAAATTGTTAGAATTATCTCCTCTGTAACACATATCTGTACAGAAGGTAAAATAATGGTAAATTTATATTTATTGGGAGGTGCGACAATTTTAAATTATGTGTAAATTTAAAACAGAAAATAAATCCATCCTGTTGATGATATCCTGTTTGGATCTATAGAAAATCAACTGTTTTGTACCATGGAGTCAAAGTTTTGAACATTTTCATGTTGACTTCTGCAATACTGTAGTATTTTAATTCATAGCAAACCTATGTGTTATATATAATAATTTAGCTGTATCTCTTCTACGAAATATAAACACTTAATTAAAAAAAATAAAAATAATGACCTATAAAATATAATTTACAAATAAGGGAACTGATTTTCCCTAACCTTGTACCAACATAGAGCTACATCTAACTTTGTGTTCCTGGGACTCCATGGAGAATCCCCCCCCCCAAAAAAAAGGAACAAATTCTACTTAATTTACAATTTCTGAAGCCCTGTTTTGATCTCAATGCACTTTAAACAAATGAGCAATACCTCGAGCATTTTAAGAAGAATAATTTCTTCAGGGAAATGAATAATCCCAGCAAGAACGCACCTAGGTTAAGGCCGCCCATAGGAAATAAGCCTTAAAATATTCACAAAAATTCAATTTAATATTAATATTTTTTTATTAGCATTAGTTTTAATTTATTGGGAACTATACTAATGCATATGCATGTATGGGGTCTCAACCGAGTTCGGCCAACGCGACTTCATGTACATCAGCTGTTTGTCACGTGACATGTTTAAAATTAGAAAAAATATGTACAGACACAAAGATCGTAAAAGTTCAACGATGTACGGATAATTTTTCACTATGAAATTGATTATGTTTTATTTAAGACAAATTTCTTAACCCGAAAAGTGCTGGGAGCAACTTCTCACTGCCCGGGAATTTTATAAAATTTAGCCGACTTTTGATAAAGTATGTGCATTTACACTATATGCATTGAAGAAATGTAAAACTACGGAAAAAATAGACAGCGCACAACTTGCTCCCAGCACTTTTCAAACAAGCTAATTCAGAGAATTCGTGTCCCCCGCTTAGGGAAAAAGTCGGCTCCCCCTGACTGAATTTGTAGAATTATGTATACTGAAGGAAATAAAATACATGTATGTCAATATGCATATAAAGATTTGATTGCTTATTCTTTATTATGTGTATAGAAGATTTTTTTATATGGAATATTTATCACACTGTAATGATGATTTTATAACCTCATAAATTTTTCATTTCACATGCTGAATACTATCATTTAGTAAAAAAAAAAAAAAGTATTTAAAAAAAGAAAAAAAAAAAAGAAAAAAGGTTCGACCGAGATTTGATCCCGGGACCACTCACATTTGAAGCGAGCGACATAACCACTAGACCACGGAGCCGCTTTACATGTACCGAAGTATATGCAGAACTGAAGTCACATACATGTATATATTCATGTTTTCATGTTCGGTATTCTTAAAATTATACACAATCCATGGTGTTTGATTTATTTAGCCTTTATTAAATAGTTCTAATAGATGTAATAAGAACATAAAGTCCGCCGAGAACCTGTTTTATACGCAATAACTCTCCTCATGCCCCTGCGCTAAAAATAGCGACGTAATACTATAAATACTAATAAAACAAACGGGGCGGGGCACTTTGAGAGGGGCGAGAGACGTCCTAGGGAGTTTTGGTATAAAATTACATTGCATAAGCTCAAAATCTTCTTGAAATATCGCCCAGAAATGATAGTGTTACACACAGACAGAATGTATAAATTTACGACCTTGAACTTTGACCTTTTGACCTAAAAATCAATAGGGGTCTTCTTTAGGCCACGGGGAGTTGTTATGTAAAATTTCATTGCAATAGCTCAAATGGTTCTAGAGATATCGTGTGGAAACGAAAGTGTTTTAACAGACAGAATTTGCTTATTTATGACCTTGACCTTTGACCTTTTGACCTCAAAATCAATAGGGGTCTTCTTTAGTCCATAGGGAGTTGCTATGCTAAATTTCATTGCAAAAGCTCAAAGGGTTCTCGAGATATCGTGTGGAAACGAAAGCGTTACAGACAGACAGAAAGACGGACGGACACACATTTGGTTATATATTGGGTACATCAAGTCCAAGTCCTATTGGATACTGCTTATTGGATACAAAAAAAGTGTACACACGAGAGAGCATTATTTGGGTAGTTACTGTTCAAATCTTATTGGATATTAATCCTCGTGTCCGTATTTTATTGGGTTTTTTTCTTATTGTTTTTTATTCATTCCAAATTTATTATATATTTAATATTTGCTTGTAAATTCAGACAAGACTGAAAACCTTTGGTTTTGAACACATATTTTTGTCAATTTCTATTATATAGCTCTTTTATTGTAACACCTAACTAATTTGTTCTTAGCAATAAGGATATACACCTGTATATTTCAAAATAACTAATATTAAAATATATGAATACCTAAGTGCAAAAGAACTGAATTGTGAAAACACAACTCAACACATCTCAGACTCTGTTTAACCTTTCTTGAATAACAAAATTAAGTATTTAAGGAGAAACCTTTTTGAGTCATGACCAATTAATAATTAGCAAATGCCCATTACATGTTGGACAGAGTGAAGGTATCCAACAGGCATTGGACAGGTGTCCTATACCTGTTGTGTTGTATTTTGACGAAGGGATTAAACTACCCAAGAACAATTGAACATGTGTACATTGTCCAATTCTATTTGGGTTTCTTGAATCTCCTCATCAAAATACAACCAACAGGTAATGGACACCTGTCCAACTCCTCTTGGATATCTACATCCCACCCAACAGGTAATGGACACTTGTCCAATTCTTCTTGGGTTTCTTGAATCTCCTCATCAAAATACAACCCAACAGGTAATGGACACCTGTCCAACTCCTCTTGGATATCTACATCCCACCCAACAGGTAATGGACACTTGTCCAATTCTTCTTGGGTTTCCTGAATCTCCTCATCAAAATACAACCCAACAGGTAATGGACACCTGTCCAACTCCTCTTTGATATCTACATCCCACCCAACATGTAATGGACACTTGTCCAATTCTTCTTGGGTTTCTTGAATTGTTTCATCAGAATACCACCCAACAGGTAATGGACATCCGTCCAACTCCTCTTGGATATCTACATCCCACCCAACAGGCAATGGACACTTGTCTAATTCTTGGATTTCATGAATCTCCTTATAAAATACAACCCAACAGGTAATGGACACCTGTCCAATTCCTCTTGGATATCTTCATCCCACCCAACAGGTAATGGACACTTGTCCAATTCTTTTTGGGTTTCTTGAATTGTTTCATCAGAATACCACCCAACAGGTAATGGACATCTGTCCAACTCCTCTTGGATATCTACATCCCACCCAACAGGCAATGGACACTTGTCGAATTCTTCGGTTTCTTGAGAATCCCCTCATCAGAATACTACCCAACATGTTATGGACACCTGTCCAATTCCTCTTGGATATCTTCATCCCTTCAATAGTATATAAACTAAAAGGTATTGCACATTCTTCTTGGGTTACTCGTTTTTTTTCATAAGAAAGAAAACCCAATAGGTATTGGACATTGGTTCAACTCTTCTTGGATATTACATCCCAACATTAGAATAAAACCCAACAGGTGATGTTTACCTGTCCAGTTCTTCTTGGGTTACTTTTACCCTTCATTAAAATTGTCAAATTTGTCTTGAATATTTATACTCTTGCATTAGATTGCAAACCCAATAAGTATGACATTTACCTTCCCTAGTTGAATTCAAGTTTATCTGCATAAGCATACATAAGATCAAAACATATTTAATACTTTAATTCTAACATTCCACAGCTCATTCAGTGTACACTTTACAAATGATAGGAAATATATAAGCATTTTGTGGCTAAACTATTTGGCTTTTAAAGAATTTTATAACCATGTTTGCAAAATTTAAATTTAAATATTGGAACTTGGAGCAAGTCATTACAGGTAGAGCAAGATGCTGAAAACCATATTGTTAAATAGATCACACCCTTGATAAAATATTTGCCTTCAGTTGCTAAGATTGTGTTGTATATATGGAAAATTTCTATAATCCTGTTTATTACAGATGCATGTACAATGCATATTTTCCCTTTAATAATAAAAATACTTCTGAGATGTAACAGAATGGACTAAATAGTCACCGATGTTAAAAGATATTACATGATTTTATTAATCTGGTTTTGAAATCACAAACTTAGTTTAGAAGCCGATAAAACAGTGTAGCACCAGAAAACTCAGTTACAAGTACAATGAATGAATTTTTTGAATCAAAACTTTAAAATAATTGATGCACTATGTCCAAATCTTTTCGACAAATCGGGATAAAGATATTAAATCAAATCATCACTGTTATAAGTCTTAGAGCTATAGAAAAGTCATTACATGCCCAAATTTTACATGTAAGACTTTGATCCTATATTTCAATAAATGTCAAAATGGTTTTATTTTTGTTTCTGTTCAATACTTTCTTCTTCATGGTCTCTCATGGCCTATACTGTATGATACCTCCATTGACCCTGCTCTTTTATATTGCCATATGTTTATCCAGTAGCAGTGGTTATGCTCAGGCAATCTTTGAAATATTCCTCATTTCATGCATCTCCTTCAGTTCTGCCTCTGTCCATTTTATTCATTCTGCAATTAGATAAAGGCATTTCTTTGTCGTATAAAACATGTTTTTCTTGACTACAGCAAGATCACCCTTTATGTTGATCAAACCCAACCAAGAAGTAGAAGTATATTTCTTATTCAGAAATATGTATTGATAAATAAAATGGAAGAAAAACTAAATTCCATCAACTCTTTTGTTTTCTTCTATGTCTAACTGCATCTTCATCCTACCCCCAATCCGCCATAATTTTATCAAAATGGATTCATCATTCAACACACAAAACGATGTTGCATATTAATTAGACAGTATGTTAGTTTCTGATTGTTAAGAAGTAGATTCTAAAAAGATTTTACACCTATTCCTTGCAAATTTTAGACTTCTAATGTAACACTATCAGTACATTAGGGGTACATAATCTTCAAAAACATCTCTACACTTAATGATAAAGCTTTCACTTTAGTATTGTTTTTAGTCCAATGATTCTGCTAAAGAGGATTTAAAATTGACTAAAACCTTACTAACTGCTTTGAAATTATATTGACAGGGACAGAGACACACTTGACACTCCATCCCCCCTTCCTGGGGTATGCTTTGCACAAAATTTAATTACAATTGACTAAGATGGATAGAAGTTGAGAATATGAAAAATTACAGTCAAACAGATTATAAATAACTTTCAGCACACCAGACATGAAGTAGTGATCCTTAAATAAAATACACCTACAAGATGAATATGTTTTATTCCTTTGAAGTGATATCTAGTATTGTTTCTTTTCCTGTATGCCACCTCTATCAGAACAAAATGCTATACATGTATTAGCATAACCTATGACCATATAGTACCCCAGTATTTACTTTACAATTAATTAAGTTCTGGAACCAACCCTCAGATGCCCTTAAAACAAATGATTCTGAACTGGCAAAGGTAAAGGGCATCTGAAGAATTTAAAATAAAAAGATAGTACAAACAAGCAAACAGTGTGCATGAAAATGTTGGCAAACACTAGAAAAAATATTAAGGAACTTTCTCAAACTTAACATGAATACTAAAGAGGTTTTATGTAGCTATATTGCACATACCAAAAGCGTTCCTGCAATTAAAGGTTGGTTGCCTAGTAGTTATGTAGTATGTCCAAGTTTTTCCCTCTATCTCTTCTAATTTAAGAAGCGGAAATGTCTCTAAAAATCTTATGGTTGGCATGAAGTATTCCTGTTCATTTTACTGATTACTTACAATTGTCCTATTTCTGAGGGTCATCTTCTGATGGGTGTGTTCTCTGCAATGTTCACAATTGAAGTTCCTGTTTGACCTGTTACATATTGAAAATCCTCAATGAACATGATTATGGTTTTAATTTCCATTGTAATTATTGATTACTTTTATAAAAAAAATCTAAACCAATTTATTGTAACATAATACTTAGTAAAGTATTTATGTAATATCAATGGAAAAAAGGAATCATTATCTCCAGTTATCCTAAAATCACAAGCAAGCATTAATCATATAAATTCACATACGTAAACCCATTAGCTTTTTGTGCTATTAAATCATAGTCATCGCTGTGCAATAAAGGAAATCAAGTACAAATCCACAGCTTTGTGGCAATAAAGTTACTATCCCCGAGTAAAAAGTGACAAGCCCAAATATAGAGGCAAAAATTGAAAAAAGTAACATTGAAAAAAAGTTCATCAAGGGCCCGTTTCATCAAAAGTCGTAAAAGTTAAGTCTTAACTTAGGCGTACTTCCGGGGATTACGCGAAATTTAGTCGGGCGTTATTTGCGTTTCACCAAGTTGCGTAAGTCTAGTCGTAAAAGATACGCTTAGTCACAGGAGTAAGTCCTTGACAACGTTGCATTGCGCTGGCGCAAAAACATAAACATTGCCCTAAGCGTACAAACGTATAAATTATAGCACGTCAAAGTACAGAATAACACAAGTTATTGATAAATTAATATTTGCACTAATTGAAACATGCATGGGTTTATAGTGTTATGTAAGAGACATGCATCTTTTAAGAAACCAATTTTAGTTTTTTACAATATTTCAATAATAAAAGTCTAATAAATTGAAAGGATGAAAAGGACAGTACATGTACTTGTATTTCGGAATTAAGCAAAACTATTCATTTTGGAAATTTAATTACAGCCATACCCCCTCTTCCCGAAATTGATACAGGTTAATAACTTCACCTTTGATAATAAATTTCATGATTCGATAAATACTGATTCTACTGACAAATACTAATAATTAAGTTTGAGACAGAATAAGATTTAAAAAATTTAAAAAGAAATGTATATGCAAGCAAAAATAATGAAAACAAAATGCAAACGGTTTACATATGAACACATTTTGAGTAAAGAAATAAATTTAACACGTTTACTACTATGGTACATGTAAGATAATCCTCTCTGTATTTATTAATTTTTTGTCAATTCAATTGATTCATAATTGTTCAGTTATAGAAAAAAACTCTTTACTATCTGCAGATTAAATGTGATGTACCGTTTTAAAAGTACGCAGAGAGAGAGAGAGAGAGGTTTGGTAAAATGACTACAAAGATATTCTTACAAAAATTCTCTGCTTGTGTGGTCTCTGTCTTTAAAATTTATTTACAGCTACTCTTTATTTTGTTTTCATTTAAATGTAAGTAATGCAGGAAATCAAAAACATGTATATTTTCATCTTATATGTGCTTTATATGCGCTCAGATTATCTTATACTATGTAAGATTTGCTCTTTTAAACAAAATTATGAAAATTAAAGATGTCTTCTGCATCAATGTTTGTCTGAGAAAAAAAAAAATTAGGAATAATTCATTCTTGAACTTAACTGTGTAATTATCACCGTCTTACATCGATATTATAAAAGCAAAAGCAATAATTTAAACCACTTTCAAAAATCTCTTATTGTCTATGAGACCCCAACCCCCTCCCTGGGTTGGGGTCTATGATTCGCCGGGAACATCATTTGTCCCAGATACCTAGGAAAATAATTACTTTCGTCATTAACTAAGTAATCTGTACATTCAATGTTAATTAATCTGCAAATTCGGGATATTCTGAACCCTCTAAGTCTCTCCCACCCCCTCTGGATCCACGCATGTGGACGAGAAGTACATAAGAAATAGACTCTTCAAACATGACAAAAACTATTTGGTTTTAAGATATTATGTTATTTTTTTGAATTTTTTTCTTAAATGTAGAAAATTACATGAAAGACAACATAGACAATTTTAATTCTCTTCTAGGTCTCTTTTTAGTAAATGAAAAAGAAACTAGAGGTACCGTAAACAATGAGTTCAATAAAAGATATCCCCCGCCTTCCATATGAATATAATGGCAGTGTCCATGTTTTGCTGTGGGAAACCCAAAATATGTGTCGAATCAAAAAGTACAATAAGGCACAATGGCAATATTTAATAAAGATTCTGTGAAAATTTCACCAAATTTCAATCAGTGATATGAAAGGAGTTGCGGATAGAGATTGGTACCCCCAAAGCCTAACAGATGGACGGACGGACATCCAGATTACTAAATAGTATATACATGTACTTGCGGATAGAGGTGGGTACCCCCAAAGCGTAACAGATGAACAGACGGACATCCCGATTACTAAATAGTATATACATGTACATATATATGTACTGTCCTGCTTTTCAAGCGGGGTGTAGAAATACAGTTATATATGTAAATTGATTTACAATACCTTAGACATACAATACCACAATCAAATGTGTATGAATGCATTGTCAAATCGTAAGAAATCTCTAATAAGACAATCTTTTCTTCTCAGCAGAAATTTATCAAAATATTATTTGAGTACGTTATTACTCAAATCAACTACGTCCCCAAGTAGTTGTAACAACACCCCCCCTCCCCCTCTTCATAATATGTATAATTAAATAATGCATTGTTTATATTTCAAATTCTTCTTAGAACCTTACTTTTTCTTTAGAACTTGCTAAAAGTAATAAAAAGGCCTTATTTTAACTCTACGCAATAACTTACGCTTACCCATGAGTAGACGTAAAATTTTGGCCTAAATTTAGTCAGGCGTAACGATACGTAAAGTCGGGACTAGCACGAATATTTGCATTTCATTACGTATCTGTGAGGCATATATGTACAAGCAAATATTGCTATATCAAACAAAGGAAAGGGGGAATTCAAATTAGGAAATAAAAGATCGTTTTTAAGTAAATCAGTCATGTATTACATGTATATTTTAAAATTCCTAATAGCCCAAGGGGATTCCTCAGTGCAGAAAACCACTAGCCCCATCCTCAAAAATGGAAGCCCCGGCTGTAGCGCGATGCTAATTACACACCCATCATGTGAAATAGTTATAGTAGCTCTATATCAATTTCAGTATTGTTTTAAATTAATTAAAACAAATGACAAAAACAATAATTTTAAAAAAAATCAAAAGAAAGCAGACACTCAGTCAAAATCAAAGACAGAAAGAAGCACTGTTTTGACTGAAAGTTTTTCAGTAATACAATGAATCTCTTAAGTAAAGTTACATATCAGATGAGATAAACTTACATACAATTATTTAGTTGTCAATTATCCCATTTATCATCATCTCAGCTCACTTTGCGATTGTAATACTGTCTACTGAACCAATAATTTAGTATTTACAGCTGATTTATGAACACACGATTGTTAAAATTTTCATTTCCCTTTCCAATATACATTATCAGAACATACTTAGTTGGTTATGATATAAAATCAAATAATAAACACTTTCGATTTATCAAAGATTATCTAACAATATACGACCATTTACTAAATACTTCTCGCCCTCAAGAGAGTTAAAAAGACAGAGAAAATTCAAAATACAAACAAGTGCAACTTAGGATTAATTGTTCCGATATATCTATTTTAATTTTGTGCACAATTGTTTTCAAAATTACATTAAAATCAAGTTTCCTTAAACAAGAACCCAGCAATGGATAAATATTAATCGAATAAACTTACCTTTTCTCTTGTCAATCAGAAAATCTTGTTGACATTAAGTGTTTCTTAGTCGCCATATTTTTTTCCA